TGAAAAATGTGGTTTTGACTCCCGGAAATTAGGGAAAAAAAAAAAAAAAAAAAGAAAGAAACCACTGTGGATCAGGACCCTGGGTCCTTTGAAGTCGTCGTTGAACATCAGGACACATTCTCCTGAACCAGAAAGATAATACTTGGGGCATATCGTCACCCCATTTTATGGAGCTCACAATTTCCAGGCGAGTAACAGCCACTGGCATGTCACAGAACGTGTGTAGCATTTGCAGAGCCCTCTTCTTTAAGGGCTTTGTGGTTTAGAGCACCACAGCCCCTCACAATACACACCGTGCTTTTATTGGGAAGATAAATCGCTTCTTTTCTTGCCAGATTGAGGGCAGAGGCTCTTGAGCCCCTTCCGTGGGGACTCCCACGGTTTTTTCCTGGCTGCTAGATCTGCCTGCTCTTCTCTTCCCTTGAGGCAGACCTTGAGTGTGCCAGGTTCATTTGGGAGGCTCAGAAAGTGCTGGCAGGGGTGAGGAAGGGAAGGTAGCTGGTAAATACTGTGTGTGCTGTTAAATAGCAGCTGTGGCCAGACCTGGTCGTGTCCACCTACAAACCCAGCACACAGAAGGCTGAGGCAGGAGGATCACGGTGAGTTCTAGGTCAGCCTGTGCTACATAGTGAGACTATGTCTCAAAAAATAATAATTGAATATAAAGCAGCTGTGGACAACTGAGATTAGTCCCACTGGGGAGCAGGCGAGGGAGCTGCATGTGAACCCCACTTCCCATTCGGTATTGTGGGGTAGAGGTACAGGCCCCAGCTTCTTCTGCCTGCTGTCCAGGTGGGCAGAACAGCCTGGTGTGGCCCCAGGCCATCTCTTAGGCACAAAGACAAATACTGACCGTCAACAACACAGCAGTGAAGGATGAAGGCCCCAAAATATAGCAGGACAAGAATCACTACACTGGGCCTCTGTTTTCTCTTTCTTTCTTTCTTTTGGTGTTGTTTTGTTTTCAGTACTAAGGATTAAATCTAGGGCCTTCACACCGAGCTGTATCCCCAGCCCTTTTGTTGTTGTTGTTGTTTTTGAGACAGGGTCTCACTCTGTAATTGAGACTGACCTGGAACTCACTGTGTAGCCCAGGCTGGTCTCAAATTCACAGCGATCTTCCTGCCTCAGCCTCCTGAGTGCTGGGATTACAGGCGTGCGCCACAAAGCCCATATCCTTTTGTATTTTAGAGACAGGGTCTTGCTGAGTCTCTAAATTGTGCAGGCTGAGCTTGAATTTGGAATTCTCCCACCTCAGCCTCCCAGACTGCTGGGACTACAGGTGTGCACCACCACAGCCGGTTTAAACTTCAGTTTTCTCATGTGTATGTATGGGCTGGGAATGCGGTACCCGCCTTATAGACCTGAGATGCAGCACAGATGAACGAATGCTCATGATGCTGCCCTTGATGATATGCACATGAGCAGGGGATGCTGGGATTTATTGATCACTGCACTCATTTCCTGTCTTCCCTTCCCCCACCCAAGTACCTGGGCCACGTGGAGGTGGAGGAGTCCCGGGGGATGCACGTGTGTGAAGATGCCGTGAAGAAGCTGAAGGCGGTAAGCGAGAGGCTGGAACCAGGGAGGGGACAAGGTGAGCCGGCCAGAGTCAGCCCTGACCAGGCTGCTGTGTCCCCACCCCTACCCCTACCCCAGATGGGCCGGAAGTCCGTGAAGTCCGTCCTGTGGGTGTCAGCTGATGGGCTCCGAGTGGTGGATGACAAGACCAAGGTAGGAGGCCTGTGGGGTTGGGGTGGGCCCCAGTGGGCTGAGGATGTCCTCCCAGCCTCCAGCCCCGGGATGTCCCTCCCTCAGGGGCCTTCTCGTCAACACCACGTGTTCCTGCAACAGCTTGGCTCGCTTCGCAGGCCTAACTCAGGAATGAGGGCTGTGGTTGTTTGTGAGCGGGTGTAGAGTGGGTGAGAGCAGAGACTGGAGTGGCCACCTCAGCACCGGTCCCAGCCACCCACTCACCAGCTGGGAATGCTGGGCATGAGATGTGATCCCGTAAGGCCCCAGGTGCCTCATCTAAAAAGTGGGGCTCGTGGTAGACCCTGCCGTTAAATGATAAAGTACTACAAACTGATTCAGATGCTGCCTGGTACATCGTAAGTACTCAGACCAATGAAAGGTAGCTGTTACGTGTTTCATTTTCAGTCTTCCCAGCCAGGAGGTCTGTGGGGTCAGGATGTGAGTGTCTGCTCTCCATTGACTCCCTGTCCCAAGGTGCTGAGAATTAGGTTAATGGCAAAACAGCTTTATGGCCTCTACACAGCCAGGGCCCTTGGCCTGAGGACTCTCCCCTGCCTTTCTGCATAGTTAATACCTCCTCCAGCAAGCTCTGCCTGGTTCCCTGGATCAAGCACCCCGTCTTTGCTCCTGCAAGCGCCTGCATCTAGGCCCCAGATCATCTGTCTGTGTCTTGGTTATCGCACCCTGGGTGTCTCTAGCTGTCCCTGTCTTGTGTTTGGGGGCGGGGGTACCAGGAATTGAACTCAGGACCTCGTATTTGCCAGGCAGGTGCTGTGGTGCTGAGCTGCACCCCCAGACCTGTCCCTGTCTTCTGAATGATCTGAACTGGGAGCCTCCTACAGGCTTGCCTCACAGCTATCTGACTATTGGGTCCTTAACCCTTTCAGGATAAGGTTTAGAGCACATGTTAAGGAGTGGGTTTGTTTGTTCTTTGTGGGATTTTTTGGTACTGGGGATCAAACTCAGAACCTTGCACTGTGAGGCAGGCAGTGGTACCACTGAGTTAAATCACTGGCCCAAGGTGTGTGGAATGAATATGTGAAAGACACTTCACAAGCCAGGTGTGTTATATTATATGTTTGCAACCCAGCTACCTGAGAGGCAGAGGCAGAAGACTCTCAGGTTCAAAGCCTTCCTGGGCAACTTAGTGAGACCCTGTCTCTAAATAAAATAAAAATGGCAGGGCATAATGGCCCACACCAGTGATCCCAGCATGCTGAGGCTGAAGCAGGAGGATCACTGTGAGTTTGAGGCCAGCTTGGTCTACAATACTGAGTTCAAAGCCAGCCTGGACTACATAGTGAGACCCTGTCTCAAAACACCAACCTCCCCAAAAAAATACATAAAAAATAAGCCAGACATGGTGGCACACACCTGTAATTCCAGCACTCAGGAGGCTGAGGCAGGAGGATCACCATGAGTTGGAGGCCCGCCTAGGCTACATACTAAGTTCGGGGCCAACCTGAACTGCATAGCGAGACCCTGTCTCAAAAATAAATAAATTTTTAAAAAATTAATTAATTAAAAAGTCTTGGGACCATAGCTCAGCACTCCTTGGGTTCAGTCCCCAGCACTGTAAATAAGAGAAAGAAGGGAGGAAGAAAGAAATGAATGAATGCATGAGTGGTTTACGCCACTCTCCTGGCCTCACTGGCCCTCCTAGGATTTGCTGGTGGACCAGACCATCGAGAAGGTCTCCTTTTGTGCACCTGACCGCAACCTGGACAAGGCTTTTTCCTACATCTGTCGGGACGGCACCACACGTCGCTGGATCTGCCACTGTTTCCTGGCACTCAAGGACTCGGTGAGTATTGCCGGAACTGGTCCCCTCACCTCTCCTGTACCCTGGGGCCCCCGCAGGCTGTGTGCATGGGACAAGTGGCTCACCCCTCTGTGCCCAGGAGCGGGTGTACTCAGTTTCTAACTTAGAGGATTCTTGGGAGACTTGAGTGGGGTGAAGCAAAGTATGAAAACTGCCTAGAGTATACCAGGCCCTTAGGAGAAAGCCATTACCCTCATCCTCGTCCCCAGTAGTTCTTTGCATGTGTGTGTTCAGCACGCAGATTGTCAGTGCATAGCTCTGTGAATCTTTGCTTATGTGTGAGCCCCCCAGGTCGTTATAGAGCCAGGCGTGGTGGCGCACGCCTGTAATCCCAGCACTCAAGTGGCTGAAGCAGGAGGATCACCGAGAGTTCAAGGCCTAAACTACAAAGGAGAACCTGCCTCAAAAAAAACAAAAACAAATTAGAGAGAGTTTCTTGCTCCTAATGGGCTCCCTTAGGTCTTTCTCAGATTATACCCTAAGGACATGCGCTGTCTGTTCAGTCTTAATACATTTTGCCCATAGTTTTTAGTGTTTTTAGGGAAAGGTCAGATTCCCCTCTGAAAATCTGATAAAAGCAATGAGTGGATTCTTTTCAGAAGAAGTTACACAATTAGGACACTGAGGCTTATGATTAAAAAAAAAAACCTAGATAACGGTGATTTTGGTGAAATCGAAATAGATGTTTGTTTCATGTAAAGAACACCCAAAAGCATGCAGTATGGCACTGGTGTGGCAGCTCTGTGCTCATTGGGGGCCATGGTTCCTGTCATCTTGTTGCCCCCTCAGAGTGTGGCTTCCACCTCAGATCCCAGATGGACGCTTTCACATCTTCATTGTCGTCAGCACAAAGGAGGGAAGGATGCAGAACAGCACACTTTCTCCTTTTAAGGGACTGCACAGTACTTAGTCACTTGGACATCCTTAGATGCAAAAGGTGGTGGAAAATATAATCTTTATTTTGCCCTGGACCCTGAACTCAGACTCCAAACAACTCTGATAGGAAACCACAGTCTCTATTTCCTACGTGGCCCAGTGTTCCTTGGTCACAAGCAATAGAAGCTAATCTTGCCAGTTTAAACCCAGAGTAAGATTAATGGAAGAATATGAGGAATCTCACAAAGTGGACGTTTAGTCAGAAGCATGGAGTATCGAAAAGTGAGAGCCGGGCAGCCTTGGGACCCAGCCTCACCGGGCAGTTTGTTCAGGGCGCTGCCGCAGAGAGGCTGCCAGATTCTGGGTCAGGTGCTAACAAGCGGGCATGGAGTTAGCCTGGCACAGTCCTCCCCTTGGCCAGCGGGTGAAGCGCTCAGAATGACTCTGGGCAGGAGGTCCCCACAGGGAACTGGAATGTTGTTACCGTAAGCAGGGGCAACAGGTACAGGTGCTCGACAGGTTCCACGGCCCCTTCTATCACGCACCCTAACAGTTTCTACCCCAGTATCCCCCATCTTCCCTGTTGTGTTAGGAAAGCCCCGATCCAAATAGCTCTGAGTCCCAGCACTGGTCACTACCCCCAGCTTCCCTCTCACACATCACAGCAGGGCTCAGACCGGAGTTGGGAAACAATCTGAGAGTGCGGTGTGGATCAGTCAGTACTGAGTGGTGCCTGCTGGGGCTGGTGTGGAGATAGCAGAGCTCCGAGCGGCTGCTGTTTCTGAGCATAGCAGGGTGTGTAGTGGTCGTCACAGTCCTCCACTGCTGTGTAACAAAGTGCTTCAGAATTTCATGGCTTAGTGCCAGGGATTTAGCTCAGTAGTATTGCTCCCTGCCTCACAAGCGTGAGGTCCCGAGTTCGATCCCTGGTACCAAAAAGGAAAGAAAAAAATCATGGCTTAAAATCACACTCATTTCTTATCTTTCATGGTTTCATAGATCAGGAATCTGGGGAAGGCCCGGCAGGATGGTTCTGGCTCCACACTCTCTCATGCTGTTTTTATTTTATTTTATGTATGTATGTTTTTTGTTTTGTTTTGTTTTTTAATTTTTTTGGTACCAGGGATTGAACCCAGGCTATTGTGCCTGCAAGGCAGGTGCAATGCCACTGAGCTTCTTGTGCTACTGAAAGCAGTGTCTGGGGCTGTAACACCTGGAGACTGGCCGGGCGTCTCCCCTCCTCCTCCTGGAGTCTCAGGGCCTCTGCACAGCCTTTCGGACATGGAGACAAAGTGAGTCTCAGGAGGGGCGAGGGAAGAGAGGGAGAGAGAGGGAGCCTGCCAGGAAGAAGTTGTCTTGACCCCGGGGCTTCGTCTCGGACCGCATCAGCGTGGCTTGTGTGCTGCTGTCTGTGCCGTCGGTCTCAGAGGTCTTCCAAGGTGCGGAGGGAAGCACATGGACTCCAGCTCCAACGGGGGAGCGGAAGGTTCTGGAAGAACGTGTGGCACCAGAAATCCATTACGGCTGTTTTGGGAAAACACTGCCACACAGTTGGTGGTGTGGGTTCGGTGTCCAGCTGCCTGGCCGTGTACCTGGCGTCTCCCTCTGGCGATAACAGCAGTGACTACGCACAGATTCACTATGGAGGATTTGTTAGGGTCACACACAGTGTTTTACCAGAGTCTGCTACTAAGTGTTCAGTAAACAGGAGCCATCGAGGGGATGAGAAACTCATCTCTTTGTGGATGAGAATCGACGTTAGAGGAGGGCAGGGGCCCATGGTGAGCAAATTCTCGCGGCTGAGCTTTGCGTTTAAACATTAGCAGGAATCCCAGGATTCCTCAAGTTTAATTGTTTTTTAGGCAGAACTTCCATAAATTTAGTCACTCCCAGTTGTACAATACAGCAGCCTTCAGTACATTCACAGTGATGTTTAGCCATCACCTCTGTCTACTTCCAGAACATAACCAGCACCCCCAAGGGAGGACCTGTACCCACTAAGCTGTACCTCCCTGTCCACACCCACCTCCCACTCCTGGAAACCTCTAATCTGCTTCCTTTCTCTAAAAATTTACCTACTCTTGATATTATTTTTTCATGTTTTTTTAGTAGTACATCTTTGCAGTAGGTAAAAATTACATCCCTTGTGGGGAGTTGGTACATGAGAATCATAATGCATGACTCTTTTTCTTTCTTTTTTCCTCTTTTTTTTTTTTTTTAGTTCTGTAGATATACCCAGGCCTTTCATGTTGAAAGGCCTTTTCTTTTGGGGGGAGGGGTGGTTTTGTTTTTGTTTTTGTTTCGTTTTTTGAGATAAGATTCTCGCTATGTAGATCAAGCTGGCTTTAAACTCACTATGTACCCCAGGCTGGTCCCAAAGTCATGGCGATCCTCCTGCCTCAGCCTCTGGAGTGCAGGGACTACAGGTTGCACCACCATACGCAGCTCTTAAGTGTCTGTTCTTTTCCCCTCTTTTAGTTGGATTGTTTTCTTTTTGTTGTAAGAATTCTTTATATGTTCAGACTCTTATCAGATACATGACTTACAAATATTTTCTCCCATTCTGTGATTTTCTTTTTGCTTTCTCGAGTGATCTTGGATAAACTAATGTTTTTAATATTGCCCAAGCCCACTTTATGTGTTCTTTTTTACACTTAGGTTTCTGATCCATTTTGAGTTCAGTTTTGCCCTTGCAGAGCTGGTCATTGAGTCAGGAACCCTGTGCCCGTTAGGCAAGCACTCTGCCTCTGAGCCTCAACCTGGGCCTTGAGTATGCGGTGTCACACAGGCCTTCGGCATCCCTCTTTTGCATGTGGATGTCCAGTTTTTCTGGCTTTATTTGCTGAAGAGACCACTCTTTCCCCCACTGAACGGTCTGGACCCTTGTCGAGAATATATTGGCCATAACCTGTATGGGTTCATTTCTAGGTTCTCGGTTCTGTTTCATTGGTCTGTGTGTCTATCCTTATGACAGTACTGTACTGTTTTGACTGATACAGCTGTGTAGTAAGTTTGGAAATTAGGACGTATCATTCTTCTACCCTGTTAGTTTTTGTTTTGTTTGTTTGTTTTTCAGTACAGGAGATTGAACTCAGGACCTTGCTCTTGCAAGGCAGGCACAGTGCCACTGAGCTAAATCCCCAGCCCACCCCTCCATCTTTTGATCCCCTTACCCTTTGAGAACAAGCTGTCTTCCTACTTCCTGTTACCATTTTACTGGTATTTTTGTCCTCAAGTTTAACTTTGAGGGGTATCTGAGCATCTCTGTCAGGAAACAGAAGTCAGACACTTCTCACATGAATCCCTGCTCTGCCACTCCACTCATTAGATTGAGGGTATTGATGTCCCATCCAAGCCTCCCTAACTCGTGCCCTAACATACCCCTAGTCCCATAGGCCCCACCGCAAGATACCATGGTCCTGGGAGTTAGGGCTTCAGCATCTGAATCTGAAAGGGCACAGGAGCGTTCAGTCCCCAGCAACCAGTGTGCATTTGCTGAGTTCAGACAAAGCATGTGCCTGTGTGATGCAGTCTGGAGAACATTGCCAAGGAACACGTGCTCGTGTCCCTGCCTCCAAGAAGCTGACTTTCCCACTATACCTTGGATGTGGCTCGTCTAGAAAGCCTCGGAAACGTGGCCATGCTGTGCCATGCAGCTGTGCCTGTTTTGTGCGTCTCGCTGTGTTGCCGAGGCTGTCTCCAGGGGTCTCCCTCAGCCTCCCAGAGTGTTGGGATTAGAGAAGGCGCCACCACACCCTCCCTGCATCTTCTAGCCCTCCCTTCCTTCTTCCTTGGGTGCTGGAGGGAACCCCGGCCTCGCACCTGCTAGGCCTGCGCTGACCACCCCCGGGCCCAGGAGCTGGCTTTGTGGTTTGTAGGCCGTCGTCCGCGGTCAGCCTGCAGGCCTGGCGAGTCTGACCTACCCTCCCGCGCAGGGGGAGCGGCGCCACCACACCCTCCCTGCATCTTCTAGCCCTCCCTTCCTTCTTCCTTGGGTGCTGGAGGGAACCCCGGCCTCGCACCTGCTAGGCCTGCGCTGACCACCCCCGGGCCCAGGAGCTGGCTTTGTGGTTTGTAGGCCGTCGTCCGCGGTCAGCCTGCAGGCCTGGCGAGTCTGACCTACCCTCCCGCGCAGGGGGAGCGCGGGACTGCGGACAAGAAGAAAGGTGGGTGCTGCCCGTGCGCTGTGTGGGGCCCAGGCTGGGTGCACAGCTTCGAGGACAGGGACTACAGGCACCACCACCACGTTAGGTTACAGTGCCACTCTTTTAAAGAAAGAAAAAGCCACTCATTGGACACCTGGCCACCACTGAGCAGGCAAAACTCAAGAGTTCACAACCCACCCCGTAGTGACCTGCATCCTCAGAGCCCTTAAAATTTTTTATCTTGAGGCAAGGTCTCCCTAAATGGTCCAGACTAGATTGGAATTTGTGAGCCTCCTGCCTAAGCTTCCTGTAGTTCTGGGATTACTGGCATGTGCCACCATGCCCAACTCACCGAGCGCCTTGTAATCCAAGTCATAGATCCAAGTCGTGTTTTCACACTGTGTAGTAAGACCTAGAAATCAGTTTGGTAGATTGTGGCTGGGATTTTTTTTTTAATGAAGTAGAATTAGAATACATCAGATATAGTATGCGTTAAATATAATTTAATGATACTTTTACTTCAGTCTGTGTATAATGGGTTACCACATAAAAGCCATGCCTCTATGTCTTCAAGTAGCCATCAAGATGCTGGGTGTGGTAGTGCTTGCCTATAATCCCAGCACTTGGGAGGCTAAGGCAGGAGGATCACCGAGTCCAGGGCCAACCTGGGCTCCATAGTGTGTTCAAGGCCAGCATGGACTACATGGTGAGACCCTTTCTCAAGCAAACAAACCAAAAAGTAGTAAAGAATTGTCCACAAAGAGCACACAGAGTATATGGTGTTTTATTGTTGACAAGAAACACAGGGGTTTAAAGTCCTTTACGGTTTGCAGATACTCCTTTTTTGCTCTCTTTTGCTTTCTTTTTTCATTTCTAAGACAGTATCTCCTTAAATTGCTGAGGCTGGACTTGAATTCATGATTCTCCTGCCTCAGCCTCCCGAGTAGCTGGGATTATAGGCATGGACCGTTGAGCGCAGCTACAAATATTTCTTTGTCATTTACACAGCATACTAGGATTTCTGGAGAAAATTGTCAGAGCCAAGCAGAGTGGCACACTCCTGTATATTCCCAGCCAGCGCTGTGGCAGGCTGAAGCAGGAGGATCACAGATTCAGGCCCAGCCTGGTGAATTTAGCAATTTAGTGAGGCCCTATCCCAAAATACAGAATAAAAAGGACTGGGGATGTATCTTGTTTCAGAGGCCCAAGATTCCATCCCAGTACCACATAACACACATTTATTCCTAGGGACTTTGCATCCTGGAAAACAATGAGCAGTTGGCACTGCAGAGTAAGGTCTGATGTGCAACCGAGTCAGTGTCTGCCTGCGGTCACTTACAGCCTGCAGGCACTGCTTTAACACAGGGCTCTGGAACAGCGCTCCGTCCACAAAAACTGTTTATCAAGCTTCTTTTGGATTCCAAAACACTGAGCACTCACTACCTTAGGCGAACTTTCCCAGAAGCCGAGGGAGGTAGCCTGGGGATGTTTGTCCCGGTTTTCTAGTCCAGCTGGATCCCAGAGAGGGGTGGGAACTTCCTGAGGTCACACAGTGAGAAAGGGCAGAGGTGGTTTCCTAGTTCCAGCCTCTCTGGGGCTTTTTCCCCGGTGCCAGGCTGGCCCAGTGGGCTCCTTGGGGCTTCTTCCCGAAAGGTAGGAGAAGCCCCCCTTGCTGACACCCCTGTGTGGCTGAGGCTCTGGTTAGGGGAGGAGTGTGTGTTTGCAGATTTCTGCAGGGTGGGGGCAAAGAACCTGTCTCTTGCGGCAAGTGGGGAGACCAGGTTTTCCCCAGAGAAGGAGTCCAGGCTGAGGGGCTAGAACAGTCTGGAAAGCTTCCCAGAGGATGATGTAGGCCAGGCCAGGCCAGGGCTGCGTGACTCACTGAAGCTGGTGGAGGGGAAGGGACTGGTGAAACGGGAAGAAGGGCTGGGAATAGGGAGCCAGGACAGAGTGACAGAGGGTGCTGTGCGGTGGTGCAGCCTCGGGAGGGACGGATGGGGGCGGCGGTTGGAGGCACAGACTCCCGTCAGCCTGCCCTGCCTCGCAGTGTGACTGGGACCTCAGCACGGGCCTTTGCTGGCCCTCGGTTCCCACAGCTATGAGCTGCAGATGGTCTCGGTCTCGTGTGTGTGTGAGTGTGTGTGTGTGTGTGTGTGTGTGTGTGTGTGAGAGAGAGAGAGTGTGTGGACGGACAAGTTAATACTTACAGAGCTCCTGGAACAATGCCTGATATGGTGTTCATGCACCAAATAGGTGTTGTTGGATTTTTGGGATGGGAAATAGTCTCTGCGGGGGAAATGGTGAGAGCAGTGCAGGAAGACAGGTGCGGGGCAGAAAGCTAGGGGCTCAGAGGGTCGGGCTGGGCCTCCTGGGGAGCTTGGCTTGGGTGGGGCTGAGGGATGTTCCAGACCTCCGACCAGCCTGCTTGAGGAAAGGAAGGCAGCCTTGGGGAATGATCCAGAGGATCAGGCATGGTGGAGCCCAGCTGTAACCCAGCACTCTGGGAGGCTGAGGCAGGAGGATGGAAAGTTCGAGCTCAGCCTGGGCAACTCAGCAACACAGCAGCTATCTTTAAAAAAAGTCTGGAGATGTAGTTCAATGTGAAGGTCCTGGGTTCCATCTCCAGTACCCAGGGAGGAAATAAAAGCCAGATGGGAGAGGTCTTCAGTGGCAAGGCGACATCTAACCAGCTGTCTCCCCATGTCTCCAGCAGAGGCAGCGGCTGCTCCTGCTGTGGCTCCCGGCCCTGCCCAGCCTGGGCACGTATCCCCAACACCAGCTACCACGTCCCCTGGTGAAAAGGGTGAGGCAGGCACCCCAGGGGCTGCAGGCACCACTGCTGCTGCCATCCCCCGGCGCCATGCCCCCCTGGAGCAGCTGGTTCGCCAGGGCTCCTTTCGAGGGTTCCCAGCACTCAGCCAGAAGAACTCACCTTTCAAACGGCAGCTGAGTCTACGGCTGAATGAGCTGCCATCTACACTGCAACGCCGCACTGACTTCCAGGTGAAGGGCACAGGTGAGCTTTAGATTCAGCGAGCAGGGCCATCAGGATCAGTGTTAAGTGGGCAAGAGATAGAGGAGAGGTGGTACATATTGTGACTGATTAGCGCTGTCTGCCTGGGCCAAAGGATAGACCGAATATATTATGATCAGTGAACAATGTCTGTCATAGGCAAGGAATAGAAGAAAGGTAGCACAAATCATGACCAGTTAGCAATATCTGCTTTAGTAAAGGGAAGGCAGCAAGATGGTGCACATCGTGAATGATTAGCAAGATCTGCTGTAGGCAGCTAAGTCTACCACAGGCAAAGGAAAGAGGAAAAGAAGCACAGATGCCCTGCTTTTGCTCAGAAATAGACTAAAGTACCACAATCTAATGCTTCTTCCAAACCTTGTACCTGTGGGATCATGAGATCTTATCAGGTAAAGGGTAAAGGTACTCCTTAGGGTCAGAGAAAAGGAGGATTGTGATGGATTAGTAGTGTCTACCTAGGGCAGGGAGAATAGAGGGATGTTGTACATTACAGTCTCCTAGCAGAGTCTGTCATGAGCAAGGAGGAGAGGTGTCACACCACATTAATAATTAGCAAAGTTTGTCATGAGCACAGGAGAAGAGATATCAGGGAGGTGTTATGCTTTTGCACAAAAGGGAAACTCCTAGAATTTGGTCAGTGGAGCCACGTGATCTGTCCAGGTAAGGGGCAAGGTGAACAAGGAGCTCAGTGAGACTAAGCCTTGTGTTTGATCATTAATGTCACGGGCAGAGGAGAGGAGACAGATGGCATAAGTCATGATCTACAAGGCAGTGTCTGTCATGATATTCTGCCAGAGAGAGACAGGCGAGAGGGCGAGCTGCCCTCAGCAGTCCAGGACGCCACGCCGTCTGGCCCACCCTCCCGCATCACGTGCCAAATCTGGGACACCTACCCTTCAGGCTCGGGGACTGATGTGGGAGAGTGTTGGTTTGTACCCAGCAGGCTGGGCTGCTCCAAAGGTGACAGTCGAGCAGATGCCAATGTGTGCTGAGAAAGACGCACTCACTCCCCACCCTACAGCATTCCTGGGCCGTCACACCACACGTTGTCACATTTGCTGTCCTCTTGCACATGCTCAGGGCATCACACGCGCTCCCTGAGGTAGCCACCGGTCAGTCGGGCTCTATCTGGAAGCCTCACACTCCCGCAGCCAGTGACGTACTTGCTTGGACGTGACTTGCCACATGGAAATTTCAGACTCTTTCTGATGTTACGGTCTGACACACATTCACACATACTACAGCCATAGACACACAGAATTTGCGCATGCTCAGAAGCTACACACCTAGGTTTACACGCTCATAAATCACACACCTGGATTCACATGGTCTCGGGAGCCACACTTACAGATCCACGCACGCTCACACAGTCCTTCACCACACAGAGCCACTCCCACTTGGGAAGCACACCTGGGGACACCACGCGCTCGAACCTCAGTCACACCGCGCACCTGTTCAGACAACTACATAGTCATCGTAGACCGTGACCTGGAAACCTCATCTCCCCCAACCCGGGCCCTACCTGTCACAGCCAGATTCCTACAGCCACTTCCTGCTGAGGCCGGTGGGAGTGTCCCGCATACCCTCTTGGAGACAGCTACTTCCTGAAATGTCACAGGTGATTCTCACACACCACACACGGTAGTCCTTTGCTTATTTGCTAAGATTGAACATTTGAAGCTTCTCTTCTAGTCTGTGGTCACTCACAGATCTCGAGGTCCTTGGTTTGGATCCCTGTCCTTGTCAGCCATCACGTGTCACTTACTGATTTGTCTCACCGTGTAGTTCAGGTGAGCCTTGAACTCACAGCGACCCTCTTGCCTCAGCCTCCCGAAGCCTGGGATTACAGGGCTGTACCATCACGCCCAGCAAGATGCCATATTATTTTAGTGGCTGTGATCACCCACAGACTGCTGACCCACACGTGAGAAAGGAAAGGAACCGGGTCACAGAGAGAGCCCCTGCAGGGGCAGTGAGCAGGACTGGCTGCAGCGGGGCCAGGTCTGTTTGCCAACTTCTGCCTTTCTCCGATTCTCCAGTGCCAGAGATGGAGCCTCCTGGTGCCAGTGACAGTGATGGTATCAACGCCCTGTGCACGCAGATCAGCTCGTCCTTCGCCAGTGCTGGAGCACCAGCATCGGGGCCACCATCTGCCCCAACGGGTACGCCCACCCTGTCCGGGCCAGACTCCCTGCGGTGCCCCTCCGCCTTCCCCTTCTTCAGTCCTACCTACCTTGGACACCAGCTATCCTAGGTTCTAGGCTAGAAGCGTTTATCGTCTTCCGCTACAGGATCATCTTAGAGCCTCCGGTTCAGCTTAGAGCCCTGGGATTAACTTAGACACACGGGTCCTCTGAGAACCACAGGGTCACCTCAGACAGCCGCAGGACCCTTTCTTTTCCTCTCCTTGCCTTTTACTCCTCCCTCCTCCTTTCCTTCCTTCACTCCCCTTCCTTGCTTTTTGTTGTTTTTTTTTTGGTACTGGGGATCAAATTCGGGACCTTGCACTTGTGAAACAGGCAGCAGAACCACTGAGCTAAATCCCCAGCCCCATTCCTTACTTTTTTCCATCTTTCTTTTCCTCTCCTCTCCTCTCCCTCTCCCTCTCCCTCTTCCTGTTTTTTTGTTTCGTTTTTTCAGTGCTAGGGATCAAAATCCGGGCTAGACAAGCCTCTAACACTGAGCTGCACCTCCAACTTCCAGATATCATTTTAGAACCAGGGACCATCCTAGAGCTGCAGGTTTATCCTAAAACCACAAGAATGCCTCGGAATCTCAGATAGTGCAAATGTAGACCTGCAAAATTTTTTAGAACAGTATACTCTGAGAAACATCCATGCAGTCTTAAGAATCAGCCTCCTAAAATAATATACTCTAAAATACTAGAAACAAACATTCAAAATATTTATCTCTCCCCTCCCTCTCCCCTCCCCCTTTCTCTCTGTCACTTTTTAAAGTACCAGTAATTGAACCTAGGGTCTTTGCACTGAGCTACATTCCTGGTGGCCCTTTTAAATTTTTTGAGACTGAATCTTCCTGAGTTATTAAATTGCCCAAGCTGGACTGGAACTTGTGACCCTTCTACCTCAGCATCAGAGTGCTGGGGCTGCAGGCGCAGGCCACTGCACCTAGAATCAAAATATTTAATACCGGATGTGGCACTGACCAGTGAGAAAGGGCAGTGGGCTCGGTGTCAGTCCCACTTAGACCTTTCCATCCATCGTAGTGCCAGAGTCGGAACTGTCTGTTCTCAGTGCTGCGGACCCATGGTGTGGTCCAGGATGGTCATGTCGCGTCCCCTCATCCCAGGCCATCCTGATTCCCTGCCTGGGGCTCTTCTGCTGCAGCCTTCTCCTCTGACCTGCGCCTTTCCTCTCTCCAGGGACTTCTGCTTGGGGTGAGCCCTCTGTAACCCCTGCAGCTTCCTTCCAGCCTGGGCACAAGCGGACACCCTCGGAGGCTGAGCGGTGGCTGGAGGAGGTGTCCCAGGTGGCCAAGGCCCAGCAGCAGCAGCAGCAGCAGCAGCACCAAGCGGCTTCAATGGCCCCAGTACCCACCATGCCACCTGCCTTGCAGCCCTTCCCTGCCCCTGTGGGGCCCTTTGACACTGCACCTGCCCAGGTGGCCATGTTCCTGCCACCCTCACACATGCAACCCCCGTTTGTGCCCGCCTACCCGGGCCTGGGCTACCCCCCCATGCCCCAGGTGCCCGTGGTGGGCATCACCCCCTCGCAGATGGTGGCCAATGCCTTCTGCTCCGCTGCCCAGCTCCAGCCCCAGCCCTCCACTCTGCTGGGAAAAGCTGGGGTCTTCCCACCTCCTGCCACACCCAGTGCCCCTGGGAGCCAGGCCCGTCCGCGCCCCAATGGGGCCCCTTGGCCCCCAGAGCCAGCGCCTGCCCCGGCCCCTGAGTTGGACCCCTTTGAGGCCCAGTGGGCGGCGTTAGAAGGCAAACCCACTGTGGAGAAGCCCTCCAACCCCTTCTCTGGCGACTTGCAGAAGACTTTCGAGATTGAACTGTAGCGCGAGCTGCCCCACTCACCCCGTCACCCCCAGGTGTGACACACCTTGGAGTGGAGGCACGGCCTCTCCCCTCGTCCCGCTCCTTCAGCACCCTCCCAAGCCCTGCTCTCCACCACCCCCGTAACCACCACAGGGGCAGCGCTGCGATGCCCGGAGTACAGGGGGTGGCACTGGGGGACTGACCCAGCCTGGCTAAAGGAGCCATTTCACTGCTGGACTCGGGCTGGTGACACCCGCCTCGTCCCCCACAGGGTGCCCGCAGCTCCGTGGAGCGCCCTCTGTCCGTGTGCTCCCTTTCCCAGTTTCTGTTGATCTTCCACCTTCTGGTGTTGGGCAGGATGGAGAGGGACACCCACTTAGCAGCTCTTCTGGGCCCCACGTGAGCACCCACCCTAAGTCCAGGGTTTCCTCCCCACGCACACAGCACAAGCGAAGGGCTCCTCCCTGCCCACGCGTTCACTGCCAATGCTGTACTCTCCCTGCCACCTTCCCCGTTTGGGGCCTGTGTCTCCTGGGGGCCCAGGTCTTGGGGGCAGGGGCCACGCTGGGGGGCCCAGGAGGTGGGGGGGTGCTCAGTTACCTCACATCAGTGCCCGCTGGGAGGTGGTCCCGGAAGAGGGGAAGGGGTACCTGGCGGGTACTTTTCTATCTTTTATTTCCAGATTTTTTTTTTTTTGTATCTAAACTTGTGCAGATTTGTATTATACAAGGACAGCCAATAAAGGAAGACTATAATGGTGCCCCTCGGGAAAGCACGAGGGTGTGTGTGTAGGGGGACCGTGTGGCCTCAGAGCCTTCTCTCCTGAGTCATCTTCTAAACCAGGAGGAAGAAAAGGGTCCCCTCTGAGTCATAGCTCGGGAACAGATCCTGCTGACTCAGCACAGACCACATGGGTACTAAAGGGAGCCCAGAATTAATTATTCCATTTTGGTTACACATTTTGAACCAAGGAATGGAAAACAGTCTAAACCACTGCTAATGGGTACAGTTATCCACATTCTAGACCAGGTGCAGTGGCACATACCTGCAGTCCCAGCTACTCCGGAGACTGAGGCAGGAGGATCTATCTAGCCTAGGACTTTTGAGGACAGCCTGGACAACCAAGTGAGATTCCACCTCAGAAACAAAACAGGTTGGTAACAGTGTATTTTAGACCATGCTGGCAAATTCTTTTTTTTTTTTTTTTTTTTTTTTTT